TGTCTTCCAAAAAATCGTTTACCCTAGCAGTCTGATAATTCAGATCCTTAACGTAGCCGACTTCACAGCATAGCAAGAAGGGCATGTGCTTGAATTGCAGGACAATTGAATCAGACCCTGAGTGGAAATACTTGAAATTCAAATAGCTTTGGTTGCCTAATCTGATCTAATCTTATAAATTAGGCACATGGCAGCACCTGGGGATATTGCAGCCTCTGCTGTTGATACCAGCCCTGCCTCCGCCGTGTTCTGCACAGCACTGGGGCTGCGACTGCTCCTCCTGCCCACGTCTCTGCCTGCTTGCTTTTTCGCACCAGATGCCTCTCCGTACACTCTCCAAAGCCGTGGCCTTTGTTTTAAATGCTTCCCCTTCTCCGCTTTTCAGTTCTGCTTTTGTGGTGCCAGTTGCCACTGCCTGTATGTTAATTGTATGTTCCCAGTGAACAGGTTGGTTTCTGTTGCCTGTCGTCATCCCTTGCTGAATATTCATTTTGGTGTATAAACACCACAAAAGCAGAAAGAGAGAACATTTGTGAACAGCTGTTGCCAAATATCTGGTCAGCTAAGAAACAGAAGACACTCTATTCCCAGAGAGCCCATTTAAATTTAACATTTCAAGGTTTTATGATATTTGTTCTGAAAGCAAAGTGCAGATTTATTTGTTGTTCACATTGTGACAGGGAACAGTAAAAGGGTAAGAAAAGATCATTTAAGCTTATAAATGATTTATGCAGGCTTAAGCATTGTAGGAAATGCATTATAGGAAAATGCATGCTTGCTTTTCCCAAACCACTCTTTGCCACATAAAAACATCCACAGATTGTCCTTTGAGAAGTTCCCTAAAATCTATCAGTCAGTGTCTGCTCTGTGAGAGCCCTCTGTTCAGGCTCTCTGCAGTGACCGTTCAGGGCTGCTCAGGTCACTGCCCCCTCTGGACATTTAACTGGTTGGATCTGGCTATCATCGAACACCGCTGAGCAGCCTGCAGAGCGCTTTCAGTGCTGTGATCTGAGCATCCCATTTCAAATGACCCACCACATGCGCTTTCGCTGTGTGTGTGGCTGCTTCCCATTGCTGGAGAACGGCTCCAGTTAGACAATTAGCTGGTGAGGAGGAGTATGGCTTGAGAATCTTCTGATTGGGAAGAAATTAAGATAATTTTAGCCAAGTGGATATTATGCCTCAGGAAGCAACTTGCATTTATGAAATGTTTTGTGTAGGACTTGTATTTGTGCTAAATATCTCATGCAATCTGTGAAGTTAGATAGTAATATCTATACTTGCAGGCATAAAATTATTTGTTTCAATGCCCAATGTCAAATAATAAATTTAAGAACAGATTTCAGGAGTGCTAGCCTTGAATTATCTTTCTGTATCTTCAGCCTGTGCTCTCTCTTTAGAGTTTAATGCAAGAGTCCTCTTCTTAGTTTTCTTTCTGGGTAAAGGTGAGAGAAATAATAAAAGATGTGTTTATTACAATGTAACTGTGAAAATTCTCTCACTTCTTTTCAGATTGGGAAGAAGAACAAGTGAGCAGTCCAAATATCTTGCGGCTTATTTATCAAGGGAGGTTTCTTCATGGCAATGTGACATTAGGAGGTATGAAAATAATTTTCATTATGTATGTTACAGCCAGGCAAAGGGGATATTCATTTACAGTGCAGTAAATACTACTTTACTGTTCAAGATCACAGTAGGGCTTGCTATATACTATTTTTCCTGTGCATAGAGTGACATTGTATCTTACTGTGTATTTTTCCATCTTGTTACCACTAGTTGTTAAACTTTGGGAGGTACCACCTGCTAAGTCAAGTCTCCTCTTGCATAAAGAAACAGTAATGCTGCTTTTATTTGTTGTCTTTCTAAATGGAATATTTTGTTCCACCTCTCTTACACTGCACTTGCAGGGTAAGCTACTACATAAATGTCTGAAGTATTTTAAAATGTTTTATAAACTTTATGCTAATTGGTTAAACAATACTTTAAATCTTAGTGCAATGAAAGAAAACACTCTATGAATGAGAATGAGGGGAAGCATTCTTGCTGTCCAGTGCTCTCCCAGGGATACAATTGCATAGTTATGCGAAAACAAAAGTAAATGGCTTCACTTCATATGCTAAGAAAATGCAATTCAACTGTGCCCCCTTGTGGCAAATTTTTTCCCGCAATTATATATTTTGATGGGTATCTTTGATAGAGATACGACACAAATTTGTAACAATAATCTTTCCTTTTGTAGATAAAAGTTGCCAGTGTGAATATCAACTATATCAATGACTAAACAAGATGAGACTCTCTTCTCTGTGCCAGTTTAAAAATAAAATAATACTTCTACTTTCTCTTTATGTTCAGATTGTTCATGCATTTGTACTTGAATGCAATACAGAGAGGAGAATATAATACAAAATCACCAATTACATGTTTTTGAAGTTAAGATGAACCTGAAAAGAATATTTCTGGACTGCTTATGGTGATCTTTCCATGAAGAAGTGACGGGGGTGATATAGCCATTGATTCGCTTTCTACCATTACCAGTGTTGGCTAGTGATGTACTTTTAGAATAGATTTACTCTCCATATAAATCAATCTTTAATGCTGCTATATATACAAACAAGATCATTGCCAATTCAGGTGGGAGAACTCTGAAATTTTTATTCACTCTTTAATTTTTGTCTTTACCAGGTGCCCATGAGTACAGCTAGTAGCAGTTGGAGTAGGGTTGAAAGACAAATGTTAAGTCTTGGATCATCTCTGCAATTAGAGATGTTAGTCTTACCCTACATTTTCCAGGCAAGGATAGCTAAATGGGGTTTTCTTTGCCATTCATCTCTAGATGTTGCTTTTGACCACCAGTGTTTTTTCCCTTTAGTGACATTTGTCTACATCTGAAACAACTTTGAATATTTGTTTAATATATTTAATATATTGTTTAACGAGTTAAGCTGAAAAATAATAACTGCATGCTGTTGACTCTTGCATTAACTCGGGTCTATGGGTTTTGAACATTTACTTGGGTTCAGGGCATTTTAATTCATTCTTAATCATTCATGCATTGCAATTTAATCATCATGATTTTATGCTAAGGATCTTACATGTATATTAGTGTTTTTTCAAAGATCTTTTTGTTTCTGTATTGTTTTAAGAAAAAGAATCTCTGAAACATTGGCTTACTTCAGTACTAATGAAGGTATCTGGAGTAAGATTGTACAGCTGAAAGGGGAACAGCAATTCATGAAGCAGCCTGAAAAGGCTGTTACTTCAGTTTGTGGTGTTCACTAGATGTAACCCTAAGTGAACTAGTTATCTTTAAAAGGGGGAGGGGGTGGGGAGGTGGGGAAATTTCTTGCTAAGTACAATATTTAGTTTCTTATGCTGTTATAATATAGTTCCATTAAGCTTTTCTATCTGCAGCTCTCTATAACTGAGTTATAGCACTTAGTGTTTTATTTGCTGTAGGTGATAAGGAAATATTGACTGGAATTTGGACCTACTGTGTACTGAAAGTCACTTTATCAACTAGTGAAACAAAAAGTTCCAAGGAAACAGTTTGGTGTTTTCTTTTTTGACAGGAGTCCATTTTTGTTCACATTTAAAAATGACATTGTAATGTTCTATTTGTAACTTCACATGTCTACGTAGTGTCTTATGAATTTGAGACTCCTTTAAACTAAGAAGCATCGAACAATGACAAATTGATAGGAAAAACTGGCTTTTGAGTGGAAAATTTTATTTTAAAGAAACCATCTCTTTTGCCAGCTTCTCTGAATGGACTGTCACTACAAGAACAGTAGAGCTAATGGCATTGGAAGTGGTAAAGAAAAACAGACCTCTGTGTAAAGTTTGCTGTGCCACTCTTGCCTGTGGTGCTTGAGCCGCACTGTTTTGTTGTGTCCTGCCTGTGTGAAGGATTCGGGAGTTAGCTAGCAAGGCAGAGTCTGTTGCTCAGCTTCCAACAGGAAATTTCATCCTTCAGCTAAATATTTGGTCTGCAGTTTGCATTTGAAATAATATTAATTAGGGAGGTAATACATAATTGACAGTTCTCCATTTCTTGTTGGATAATGGTAATCAGCAACATTTTACTTCCTTATTTATTGGGGAAGGGAGGAGGGAAGCCAAGCCACTCTGTGCCATACACATACCAAAAGAGGGGGTGAAAAGTAAGTTCTGACAACAGAAAATCTGAAATAAAAGTGGAATTAAACAGATGGGAAAGGAATTAAATAAAATTTAGTTTAAGTGAGAGAAAGGGGTGAGAGAACGAACACAAGAGGAAGAAAGGATTACTGAGCATAGGTTAGGGTGTCATGGTGCTCCAAGCAAGAAGCTGGAAATTGCTAATAAGAACTTGTGTGAACTATGCAAACTACTAGCTGAAATTAGTTAATTGAAATATTAGCATATTTTTACTTGATTACTGTAAATAATTAATTTCCACAGCTCACTAATCAAGTCTCTTCAAGTGTCTTGATATTATGAAAGATGTCCCTAATGTGATTGGTTTGTAGTATTTTGCTCTTTCTGTAATGGCTTTTAAAGAGTTTATGTCATGAAGATGATCCTTTTCCATTGAGTTTAACAGACTGTTAATATGCTCTTTGCAGAGTTTTCAGTTGTATCAAGTACCCAAAATACTTCATCCTTGTCAGAATTTAAGTTATCCTTCTAGTTGCAGGCACAGGCAGTGCTTCAAGTAAACTAAGCAACTTTCAGATCTGACTTTCTATAGAGATGGCTTTTCCCAAAGAACAGCTACTTCAAAGAAGCTTGTGGAGCTGTGTATCCCTCCATGTGCTTACACCTGTGTTTTAATCATAACTTGCATTTTTTCAAACAAATACATAGGCAATGAACATGATTTAATAGCAATGTTGTAGCTAGGCTTGTACTGAATACATGTAGTAACCAAATGCTAGGTTGGTTTATTTATTTTGTATTACTGAATTTTGAATTTATGCTGTACTGATTAAAATAGAGAGGCATTTTTCTCTTCAGTTACCTTCAGGTTTATTGGACATTCATTATTCATTTATTGACTTAAAATGCCTTGCTGCACTGTATGTGAAAATAGAAAATGTAAATTTGAGAGGACAAATTCTACTCAAGTCAGAATGATTTGGGTACTTAGGGTTAAATTCTTTTTACATTTATCACTAACTTTTTTCCCTCTATAAGAGGGGGAGGACAAAACTTAGAGCATCTTTACCTTACATTTCTCAGAAAAATAATCAAGAAAGATGCTTATTCTTAGGAGTTGCAGAGAGGAAACAAAATTAAAGTTATGTAAAGAACTTGTAAAAATAACTCCCCCCTGCCAAATAATTGGAAGAAGTCAAAGTTCAGAATATTGACTCTGGCAATGAGAATCTCTTAAATATAATGAGCAACAGAGAATCCTTTCATTTCAAGGAGACTAGAAGTTTTGATAAATATTATACTACAGTGCTAAAACCATAAATACAGCACTGTTGGTATATTTAAATCAGCATGTGAAAATGATCATTTTCGTTTCAGAAACAAGCAGAACGAATTGGGGAAAGCTCCAATTTTGTTATTTTGTGTTACTAAAGCTCACAAAGGCAGCATTGTGAGAACTACCTTATCTGATTTAAAATGTTTTAAATTTGATATTTTTCACATGCAGTTAATGTTACAGATTAATATTAAAAGGCAAGATGCAGACATCTTGTATTTTGGAAAAATCTGTATCATGGATCAAAGTATGTTTTAGGACAATCTGTTTTGCAGTAGTGGCTCAGTGTTTTGATGTCTCAGGAGTAACAATTTAGTGGCTGAATTAGCCACTTTTTTGTATCCTTATCAATAAAGAGTGCTTAGCAACTGAGCCTTGGCATGAATGCTCACTTCTACTTTTACTCAAAAGAGGAAGGCTAAGTTTCCTAACAGGAATATCATGTCTCTAAGAACACAATGTTTTAAGTGATTATTATCAGGTCCCAAGACCCTGATCTACAAAACTTTAGCCAGAAACGCCTTTATAAATCTATTTAGTAAGCAGTTCAAACCTAACGGTATGAACTTTTGAACAGATGCTAATCCAATTATAGTTAGTTTCAGTTGGGTGTTTTGAAGAAAGAAGACTGCTGTAATATATTAATAAATCTCCCTTTCTCCTTTTGCAGCTTTAAAACTTCCTTTTGGCAAAACAACAGTGATGCATTTGGTGGCTAGAGAGACATTGCCAGAGCCAAACTCTCAAGGTACGCTGTGCACTAGAGCTATTTCTTACTGAAGTACGTGGCAAAGCGGTCAGATCTCTTATAGGCTTTTTGAGTATTTCATAGCAGAGAAAAGTCAAGCCCTTGTGGTCTTTTGTGAAGCACGTAATGGAATGCTTTTGTACATGTTGTTTGTAGAAAACTAAGAAATTAACTTTCTGGTTTAGCATTTTTGTAGAATGCAGAAATTTACTCAAACCTTAAAAGCTTTCATTTTTATTGTTAAAAACTACTCCTGATTTATTTTTCAGTTATGTATGCATGTGTGTAATAATAATTTTTTTTTTTACTAAAAATAATAAAAACCATACTCGTATCAAGCATACTCACACACGAAACAATCTAATTGCTTTAGAAATGGCATATAAGCAAAACTTTCTTCTTGCTCCACAGGTCAAAGGAACCGTGAAAAAACTGGAGAAAGCAATTGCTGTGTAATCCTGTAAACCCTGTTAGCTTTACCTGCTAAGTGTGATGTAATATAGTCTTTGTCTTTCATGCTGCTGGAATAGAAGAGGCCCTACCTTGCTTCAAACACTTGTAGGAAGAGCCTGTCTGTAAATCCATGGAACTGAAATATTACACGAACACTGTCTCATTAGTCTTTTTTTTTTTTTTTTAAGAGAAAGATCTATGAACACTTTCATTGTTTGTTGGTGTTTTTTTTTTTTTTTAATTCCTGCTTTTTGTTTGTTGAATAATCTTACAGTACATCAGTTCTTGAAAGAATTCAATCTCCAGAAAAGTTATTGTGTTCTTTTCCATAGCAGGAATCATTTTGGCACCACAAAAATCTCCATTAACCGGATCTAACCAGTCAAGCTTTCTAAATGCAATTTGCACTAAATATGGTTGACAGTATATTTCTCATCAACAATCTCTAACAATATTTGAGACACCTAGTAATAACCTACAATGTATAATGCAACACTGGAAAATAGTGTATCTATAATTAAAACAAATCTCACTTATGGCCAAATCAAAGGAAAAACTGTTAAGTTAATTCTACCTAAGTCAACCTTGGTGGCCAAGCTGGCACAGAATACTAACTAAACCAAGTCTAACTATATATATATTTTCACTGCAACAAACAAAAAAAACTATGTGCCTGTAATTTAAAAGCACTCTGTAGAGGGCTGATTAAACTGATTTTTTCGTTACTGCGTGCACTCTGATCTCGTATGTTAGTTGAGTGCTTATTCAGACAGCACAAACAAGTGCAGAGAGTGCATTTCCTAGCCTTAATATGGGAGGGGTAATTTCCTGTAGTTCATAGGCTTTTATTATTGTGCATAAATGTTAGAAAACATCATTTACTAATCAATTTTATGTATTTGAATATTGGCAATTGGTGTTTTTCAGTCATTTTCTCATCTGTACCTTAGTGTCCAGTGTCATGCTTACTCATTAGAGACTTCAAAATAATTATTAAAGTTTAAAAAGCAAAAAGAAAAACCTCTGCCATAGTACTAGTTTTGTTTCTTTATGTAATCTGCATTTGGTATTAGTGCTTGCAATTGTATTAAAATCAGAAGCTGATTTTTGGAGGCATACATAATTAAAAAGGATGCCATTCTCTTATTTCATATCAATAATTTAAACGTTGATATGCTAAAGAAATTTGCACAGCACTAAAGCATGAGCTAGTTTCATCTAAACCTGTAAAAAATAAAAATAAATAAAAATTAAAAAAAATAAAAGATTTTATATTTTTTCACTGGGGAGGAATTCTTCCTGGGTGAAATTACCAATATGTGTAGAATATATTTAATAAAAATCTTATAAAATACATAACTATAGAAGTTAAATATAGATTGGCGTGTAGTATAATAGAACAATATTCCATATAAATAGCTTTAGCCTTTAAAAAAAATGAGTCACAGGTTGACATTGTGTTCTGTACTTAAGTGTCCACAACTCTTACAGATGTTCTGTGTAATCGTTTTTTCGAATGATTGGCATCATTCAAATGTAATCAGGTTATTTTATTCATTGTTACTGCTTTGATGAAATGCTTTATATGCAGTAGATTTACAAAAATATTGTTCATACTGATCAGAATTAAATTTGTATAGAGCAGAGTTTTAAAACAAATTGTAAATAGCACTAAACATTTTCTTTCTGCAACCTGTACTGATAGACTCTTCTGTAAACTAAATAAAAGAATATTGTAGTGCATTTTGGTGGTGTTTTAAGGGTTTTAATTGGGTCTGTAACTACTTTTAATAATACTTCTTAATCTGGAAACTAAGAAAGGATTCCATTTTATTTATTTAAAAAAAGGGGGGGAGGGGGCAAAATCTGCTGAAAGCTGCTAATGGGATTTATCACTTCAGTTTTGTTTTCCTTTCACATCAAAAGAAGTGGCCTAGAGGTTTTTTTTCTGTTGGAGAATTATGCAAGCATGGACAGTTGCAGTTGCAAATGTACAGCCATGTCACACCCTGGTGTACCTTCACAGAAGTTAAGTGCTCATACTGTAAGTTTTTGTGTCTTCACTTATTTATGGCGAAGAGCATACATGTACCTCTTAGGGTGCTGGGAATTCAGCTGACAGTATTATTATGTGCTCATTGCCTAAATGAATCTTGGGGGGGGGCGGATTTCCTTGTACTCTGCAGTGTAGTTGCTAAATAAGTAGCTATAGGGTCCCAAACCTTCTTATTTTAAAAAAAAAAAAGAAGTTGGATAAACATCAGCTTGAGAAAGCTACTAGGAGCATGTTGTCATCTTTAACTATAAGATGAAACTTCCCTTTTCCAAAATGCTGACCACCTAAGTAACACAGGCTCAGGTGGGAAATGGCTATGACAATACAAGAAAAAGAAAGGGGCTGAGGCTGGACATGTTTTGTTAGTTAAACAAGTCTTTCAGATGCATTGATTTTGAAAAATGAATGTTTGAAAGGTAATCTTGGTTTGGAAAAGTAGCTAGGTACTTAATAGAGTATAAATACATGAAAATCCAGTAGCTTCCGGTTAAAATATTTGGCAAGCTTGAATAGCAAAGTATGTGGAGTTCCCTTTTATTGAGATGAGTAGGATGCATATATGCGCATGTCCAAGCAAATCCTTAAATGCTGCTTGGCATTTAAAGTGTGAGCTTGCCAAAATAACTCCCGCAGAAAGCGGGTAGAACTGTTGCCTTAATTTTCCTGCAAATTGTCAGAGTTCTGCCCATTGCAGAGCATTTCTGTTGTGGTGTGAGGCTGGTGGAAAACTGTGGGGGAGAATTGCTAAAAGATTTGTGCTTTTTCCCTTGGGTGCTTTGTATTTTGGATTGTATATTTGCCAAAACAAAGGCAGTAGTTCTTAATCCCGGATTCCTCAGCCTTGCTGAAGTTCACGCATATGCTTCTCTTCTGTGTTGATTGGAGTCAAGAGGATACTTGCAGCCCATAAAGATTAAAGCTAAGTCTTTGCAGGGTCAGGCTGTTGGATGGTCTGATAATATGTTGAAGAGTTTGACATTTGATTTTCACTGTTAAATAGAAATTATATTTTCCCTGTGGATGGGTTAATAGATGTCATGAAGGAAGGGAAGAAGAGGATGAATTGGAGCCCTTCATATTCTGAAATATCATGAAGGGACCACATCTGTCTCCCATGCAACTGCGTGTGTTGTCAGTCATAAATTAATATTGACACATGTGGGGAATAATATCTGGTAGCAATGAAAGTACTCTAACTTCTGTTTTCTTAAATGATAGCAAAAGTATGACACTTGAAACAGTTGGGGATTAGCTCAGCTGCTGGAGGAAGAAAGTATGGCCACTGTAATGTTGAAGGCTTTGCTAAGGTGCTGCATCGGTATTAATGCAGCGGTGATCTCTGCAGTCTGCTTTCCTTAGTACGCTGCATTTACAACAGGAACAGTGATTTAATTTAGAAGAGAAATACATGGCGCTCTGAAAAAGCTTCCTTCCTCTCTTACAGGTAAGAAGGAAGGCAGCCGTTTCTGGGCTGGCCAAAAGTCAGGATTTTCTGCTGCTACTCTTTGGGGAAGTAAAGCTTGTGTATTTTGTGGTTCTCTGTGTGCTCTGATAAGATTTGTTATGCCAATCTTACTTCAAGAAGCAAATAGGAAGATGGATATACTTCTCCATCTAAAACTCTCTCACTAACTTTACGCCAATTAAATGGGTAAGCTGAAGCAGATTTTGGGTTGTATGTGCTGTCTGAATCGACCATTAACAGCAGTTGCTACACTGAAACCAATGCGACTTCTGTGCTTAAATCAAAGGAAATACCAAGATCTGTTAAGATTCTTAAAGCAGAGTTCCTACCCTCTTTATTTCTTCTGAAGTACTTAGATTCTTCCTAGATACTATATCTTGGCCGTAACTTGTCAGTATCAAGCTTATTTTCAGAGCACAGTAAAAGGCCTTTGTTGTTATTCAAGAAGCTGATAGTAATATATAGTTCATGATAATAACTTGTTAAAAATCCTCATAAGGTAGCAGCATACTTGTCCTTCTGTGCCACGTGTACATACCTGTGAAGAAGTTTACAATGTGATAGCTAATTTGCTTTACCAATTTATTATACTAGACTGTAAAATTACAAAAACCTCTTTATGCTCTGTGTTTTTCCAGTAGTTATGATTGACTTCTGCTTTTTTCCTTTTTAAATTGATAAAGTTTTTTTTTTAATTAATCTGGAAAAGGAATGACCAGTGAAATAGAAAATGGTGAAGGTTATTAAGGTCAAGGTCACAAAAAATAAGGAAAATTTAATGGTACCTTATCAAGCTCATGGAATGGATCACAGTGACAAATGAAGTTCAATTTTGAATGTAAAGAACGGCATAGTTAGAGAAAGCAAAGTACTTGCACAACTCTGAGTTTTAAAATTACCTGGATCAGTCCGGGACTGAGTTCTGGGCATTGTGGGCAAACACTTTGTGTTGCAAGTTCCTTAGGGTTTGGAAAATGATGATAACAAAAATAATGAGACAGCAGAAATATTATAGAGAGTTTGAAGAGAATGAGAGATTAAAATAGCTACAGTTATGACTAACACAGAGAAAATGGATGGAGATCCTCTATTTTTGTCTTGTAGCTTTATTGGCCCAGTTTTCACATTTGTCTTTAAAGCAGAGGTGACAAATTTAAATCCGATAGAAACGTTTTTCATGAAATCAATGGGACTCACTTCCACCAGAACTAATTCGAGGAGAAAAGCTGACCAAGATTTAAAAAGAAAATGAATCATTGTATCAATGAAGATTGATAGAATTTCCAGAATTATCATAATTAATGATGCCAGACTTTTTCTCAACAAGGTAGTAATTTTTGTCCTTCAGACATTATGTTAACTTTCAACGAAGAGCCCAACTCTTAGGGGAAAACTACTTCTGGCACATTACCACCTCCATTATGTTCGAGCAACAGCATAACATGAGCCCCAGCCTGTGCAGGACAAGCATATCGTGTACCCTGGTAAGAGTTTATCTGTGCAAACCTGCTGCTTCCTGAGAAGAACTTTTGGTCAGAGTCAATGTGATGTTTGTGCTTTCCTGGAGCAGGCTTGAGGGAATATGTTACCGTATTTAGCTGGTGGAGAATGTGAACTGCAGTTCCTTAGGGCAAAAGTTAATGCCTCTTGAGTGGTGCCAGATGAAAGCACCCTGCTTTTATCAATTCAGAGGGTGCTGAATTTATAGGTAGTAAATGTTTTGACTCTTCTACCAGACAATACTCTTCAGCTACTTTTTTTTTTTAATAGAGGCAGGGTAATGGGATGAAACAGAACAATTTTCATTTTGTGCTCTCTTTTATCTAATCTTTGAAGTAAAGATCAGGAAGAATGGGAGAAGTTTTAGGCAGCTACGTAGAATCAACCATTAAATGGCTGGTCAAAATTCACCTACCAGCAGCTATCCATGCCACAAAGAGCAGCTGTGGGGAAGAGGTGACCATTGCCCACAGTGTGGCAACTCTAATTGCCAGGGTGATGTGGCTAAGGTTGTGAATGAGGGGAGGAAGGGGCTGATACTTGGTCGCTTCATGAGACTTTCAGTTGTTGCCTGACAAAAAAGGGGGTTGGAGTCTTGTACCTGTCTTTGGGGGACAGAATAACAGAGTGGAACTACCTGTAGAGGTTAGATTTTTTTTTTTTTTAAAAAATGGTAATATAAACATAAATCCATGATACTGGAAGTCAACTGTGCTGGATGGATGATACTGCACTTCCAGACCAAGACAGGGAAATACATATTCGTGTCTGTGTTACGTGCATCTGTCTGTTACCTGTGCTGGCTAAATTAAAGAAAGATTGAGTTTCAGGTCTTTAATTTCTGCAACTCACACGTGTCCCTAAGTAAGGATCATTAATCCCCGGTGCTGCCAAGGTTACAGCTCTGCTGTAGCAGGCAGCGGAGCTGGCAGGGAGCTCGCACCCCGCAGCCTCGCTGAGTGAAAAGTCAGCACCATAACTGTGCTCACCGGTGCGAGATGAAAAGCACGTAGGTTTTACGTGGGAGGAAATGTCAACGTGGCAAGTCAGCAAGTGCCCAGGCAAGGGAACTTTACCAAATCCACACGACTGTACCAGCAGCTGAGTGTTCTGCCTTTCAGTGAAGAAAATTCGGGGGGTATTCTTCTGGAAAGCAAATGTGCAAGAGCCTTCTCTTGCACTCTTGCATTAACTAAGCGATGTCAGCCAAATTGTTTGGCTCCTGATCACCCTGATTGCCAGCGTCCCAAGGAAAGGTCTTCTCTCAACAAACACGTATGAAGGCTGCCTCAGACTCTATTTTTCTTGTCCTCTGAACAATGACCATCTCTGGCTTCATCTCCAAAGTCTTCAAGCTTCCCATTGTTCCGATTTTCTCCCAGCCTGGTGCTTCTGGCTGCAGACAGCAGTGATCACCACTGGACACGTGCTCTACTGAGCCGAGTCCACGGCAAGGACTGGAAAAAGACATCGCCAATGTGGATGCAGTGTGCCCCTGCAGAAGTCTCTGCTGAGCTGTGGACAGGACTCCTCCATGGCTCTGGTCATTGATGGGTAGTCTGAACTGCCTAGAAGAGAGAAACCCGCTTTGAGCTTCCAAGCCAAGGGCAGGTCCACCATTTGTGACACTGTGGCCAGGCCCCAGCTGTGTCTGCTTCTTTCAAGTTGTGCAAGACTGAGTGTTGCAGCAAAGAACCTCGCTGGTGATCAAACTGGTAAGAG